ATTATAGATGAGTGGGGCTAAAGCATATAGGTCCACAGTAGCCTTTGGTTCCATTGACCCCTAATTCCTGGCTTTTGTAACCCATCTGGAACTATTACATTCCTTTGAATCCTTGACACTTACTTTAAAAATGCACGTAATACAATCTGCTTTGTAAAATAATGCTGAGCTATGAGTGCTGTTCTAATATCAAGAAAAAGATAAAATTTAAAGTTCCATACATTTCTGTACTGGTGGAATCATCCTATGTGGTTTCCAACAGGGAAAGAGAGAGATGTTTACTTCTTAAGAATAATGGTCACTCCTAAGGTATAGAGCCTGATTCTGTTGGTTTGAGATGATGACCCCATTGATTCATGGACATACGGCAACAGTGGAAAAAACAACTGTGAATAATGAAAGACACCTGATTCTTACTCCATGGCTTTGTGGAAGCTGGTAATATTGGAAGATTGGAAAACCAAAAAATGATTATTTTCTATTTCCTAAAAACAGGGCATTTTAATCCTATAAAGATAGGTAGTTGGAGAGAGAGAGAGATTGAGCTTATTCCAGGACTGTTCTGTTTCTGGGCTCCTATATGCCTTGCTCTTCTCTTCACACCTACAGCTATACGTTTTCATCACTTTTAGAATTTTCTTGGTATATAGGCAGAAAATGAGGGGAAAAGAAGTCAGGGAGCATCTGGACAATTTTGTTCCTTTTTATCAGTTCTTAAAAGAAAAAAAAAAGTTTAGTGTTTCACTATTTAAAGATGATAGATGAGCAGTTGTCTTTGGATACTAATCACCCAGAGCCCCGGCTGAATGTTATGGTCAAGACTGTTTTTTTTTTTTTTTTAAAGACAGATTTTTTTATTTTATTTATGATAGGCACACAATGAGAGAGAGAGAGAGAGAGAGAGAGAGGCAGAGACACAGGCAGAGGGAGAAGCAGGCTCCATGCGGCGGGAGCCCGACGTGGGATTCGATCCCGGGTCTCCAGGATCGCACCCTGGGCCAAAGGCAGGCGCCAAACCACTGCGCCACCCAGGGATCCCCTGGTCAAGACTATTTGCGAAATAATACATTATCTCTGTCTCCTTCACCCAACACAATTAATTTCTTGCTGTATAGTCATTTATGTGTTGTTGACCTATTTTAGGGATTTGTGAGCTCCCTGACATACGCAAAAAAGGCTTGTGGATATTTGCGCTTTTCTGAGAAGAGGATCTATAGCTTTCACCCCATACTAAAATAATAATAACAGTATTATTTTCAAAAATCAGTATCTCAAACTAAGTTGAGGGCCATTAGAAAATATACTTTGTACCCCTTTCTAGATTTTAGGCAACCAAATGTGGAGAACTTTCTTACTGGTATGAATTTCCCCTAGCACTTCGCAACTGTCCCTTTCATGAGCGCTGTTGTACGGATGAATTTTAGAATTGCATGAAGCTGGGCCTAATTCCTTGAACCCTGTTAGGGCACCCCATCAGGAATATGGGTTCCACATTGACCTCCTTCAAGCAAAAGAAATGTATTTAATAGAACACCACCCATTACCTAACCAATTTATTTAGTCTCCTTTCCCAATCAAACTTAAACCAACTCTGAGAAAAGTAGAACCGATTTAATCCATGGATTCAAATTCTCTTTAAATAATCCCTGTGAGAAAAGAAAGAAAGAAAATGCGTCTCCAAGTTATGAACAAGTGTAGGTACCTGCAGAGGCTAAATCATCCAGTTTAACTTTTTTACAGAAGTCCCTTCCTGTGGTGATTTCCAGTTATTAATTCAGAAAGGAAAAGGGTCTCTGTGAGCAAGTCAGCGTGGATGGAACTGGAGGGTATTAGGCTGAGTGAAATAAGTCAATCAGAGAAAGACAATCATCATATGGTTTCATTCATATGTGGAATATAAAAAATAGTGAAAGGGACTATAAGGGAAAGGAGGGAAACTGAGGGGAAAAATTGGAGAGGATGACAAACCATGAGAGACTGCTAACTCTGGGAAACAAACAGCTTTGCGGAAGGGGAGGTGGGTGGGGGTTGGGGTGACTGGATGATGGGCACTGAGGAGGGCACTTGATGGGATGAGCACTGGGTGTTATACTATATATTGGCAAATTGAATTTAAATAAAGTATTTAAAAATAAATAAAATTAAAATTTAAAAAAGATGTCACTCTTGTCCATAAAGAATAATCTAAATGAGAAATAAACACACAATATTGAGCAACTAACATGTCCTTAGTGGGAAAGAAAAAATAAAACCCACTGTGGTAGTATTGCTACATTGTTTGATTTCTCTGAGAATTGGGACCTGATGCAAACAGAATGAAATGGAGCATCAAGAGCACATTATCCAAAGGCCCCTCAAAATGCATCTCACCAACCACTAGATAAAATCATCCCTCTAGGTAGTATTTTAAAAAGTCACCAAGTGATATTAGCCAAGTAATTATCAAAGTATGATTACAATGTCACCAACCTCTTTTCATTAAAACATGAAATATTTTCTTTAATGCTAATTGCACTTTCAGTGTAGGGAGCAGTATATGTTTAGGTGGATTTCAATGGCTACAGAGAAAATGTCTACTATATAAAATGAGATTTAATATATCCAAAGCCATTAAGGAGATTACCATCAGTAATTAATCAGAGAGTGTGTATAAATAAAGAAAGTCAAGAGGATTTTTCTGTAGAAACACAAACACAAAATAGCTACCTTATGACTTCTGCCTTCTGGATTTGTGTGGGTTTGTTTTATTTTGTTGGGTTTTTTGTTTGTTTGTTTTTTTGGGGGGGTTGTATGTTTTGTTTTTAACAGTGTTCCTTTCCTTCTTTTTAAGCTGTGTTAGCCACTACTGGTCACTTTAGTGAGTCTAGGATCAGAGGGCAGGAGCCCAGAACAAGTTGTAAGAGTCCCCAACACTCTTGGCACCCCCAGACTCACTAGGCAGCTCCTGATTCCCCAGGGCCATTTTAATCCTCCCCAAAATGCTCCCACAGTTTCTGCAATTCCTTTGGCTTTCAGAGAGGCTGGACCTATAGTTCTCAATGTCTGTTGTACATCAGAATCAGTGAGGGAGCTTTAAAAAAAAAATACGGGAATTTGGGTACTGCTTCCAGAGTTTTCTGATTCACTCAGTCTGTGGTGGGACCTGGATTACATGGGTTCTGGCAGATGCTTGGGGGGCTCTTGTGTGCACAAGGGGCTGAAGATCACTTGTATAGATGTATCACCAGCCAAGCTTGACAGATCCCAAGAGTGAGAGTCCGGGAGGATCTTTAGGAATTGTAAGCACACCACACTTCAAATATGTAAAATGGCATTAAAATAGCCTGAGTTTACCCTTTTCATGTCTGAGATCTCCAAATCCAGCAAGAGCATAGGATTATTCAAAAACAGTCTCATTTAGAATTTGATTATCTAGCCCTCCAGGAAATGCTTGACCATATACAAACGGTCACAGGGTCTCAGGGTCTGATCCTGATAGATGTCCTCGTAAAGCACCTGTTGAAGCAAATTCTGCCACTGGCCCTTTAAATGGGATGGAGTTTTAATTTTCCAAAAGTCGTGGGCCAGTTGGAATGCCAGAAATGCACATTTGCTGCTTATGTTCCATTCGAGCCATCCATCTCCAGCATCACTATGCTGATCTTTTGATTGTGTGATTAGTGAGACCCAAGCCATCAGGGGTCGCCAGCAGCCCAGAGGCTGGCTAGAGGGAGTTGATGTCGCACAACCAGCCAACAATGAGAACTGGGTTGTTGGTACCCTCGCATGAGTCTGTCAAGGCTTGTTAAAAACTGGAACTGTGGTTGTAACTTGGAGAATGCTAAAACCTCACCTGGAAAGATGTTTCACGTTTCTCCCGAGTGGAGAGTCTAGATTTTTGTGTTTGATGATAAAGGAATAGCCAAAATGCCACGCAGCTTAACGCCAAGCATGCCAATGGGGGACTCTCTCCAAAAAGTGACATAAACCAGCGGGGTTAGGATCATCCTCTCAAGTGCATTCATCAGATCTATCTATAGCCCAGGCCAAATCAGGTACTGGCTGGCTGAAGGTCATGGGTTACACAGAGCTATGCAAATACTTTATTTTGGAGACAGCTGAATTACTCCCTGACCTGCCATGAGTGAGAGGGAGGGTCATCTTCACTGTTAGGCCTTCCTGCCCTTTCTAAAAATAGTAGGGCCTTTAACAAGAAGATATTTTAAGCCTCTCATATTCACTTGTCTCATGAGGAGAAGCTTATTTTGGCCACTCGCATGTGTCAGATGCGCCCAGAGCATAGTTAGGCTTTGGAGCACCCTCCTTGCTCCTCCACACCGCTCATATAAGAAACTGGCAAACAGAAAGGCCCTGGGATTACGAGCTGAGAGGCAGTGGGTAAACATAAACGAAGGGGAGATACTTTTCAGGAACGCTTTTAGGAATATGCTTCCGAAATCCTCCATTTCAGACATTGGCACATCAGTCCTCTGCTTTTCGGATCTGTTTTCCTAAAACCTGGCTGTGATGTCGCCCCAGAGACCTCAATGATCTTGCTGCTTTTAATAAATACTTATAGGAGCCACTGCCAGCCTGTGGATAGGGGAAACTCATGAGACACTGCCATCCAAAAGCTGAACGGCAAAAACAAAACCAAACAAAACCACAAATTCCAAAACAAAACCAAAAAAGAACCACCCCAACAATCCGTGCTCACAAGAAGACGCGCAGGAAAACACTGCGATGTACCTTTGATTGGGTGACGGGCTGTCTCAGTCCCCTGACCAGCAGGCACCAAGTCCTTTGTCTTATCCTCCTTTGGGAAACGAGTGCAAATCTTGGTTTTTCTGCACAACGGGGACCAAACAATTATGCTTGGGAGGAAGCCCAGACTCTAGAAGCAAGATGGAATTGGAACAGGTAAACCCTGTACCACAGTCCTGTCATTCCGGGTCGGTCGTGCGTGGTTCTCGTGTTTGCACCTCTAAGAAATTTCCATTTTTTCGCATCAAAAAATCCAGATATGAAGCCGAAGCTGCTTTCTTCGCCAACCTGAAGCTGTCTGACTTCAACATCATCGACACTCTCGGCGTCGGAGGCTTCGGGCGCGTGGAGCTGGTAGGTGATTCTGCTTTTCCTGCTCTCGGGAGCCCCTCTTCCTTTTGCATTTTTTAAGATGCCTCTACTCTCTCGTCATTAAGTGTTACTGTTCCTGAATCAGTACCGAACGCTTTCATGTCAGCACACCCGAGTGTGAAACAGGTACGGTGCGCCGTGTGTTACGGAGCCCGTAGACTGCCAATCAAATATAGACAATTTGATTTTTTAGAAAAACCTCTTCATTGTAAACGAAAGGTAAGCACATTAACAAGGAGCCATAAACCGCCTTTTGCTCTGCTTCCTTAGTTCTGAGCTGTGCTCACCCACGTAATCATGTACCCTACCTGCATGGAAATGTAAACAGAGAGAGGGAAATAAATGGGATATGTATATTTTTATATTATATGTAGATTCATACATACGTGTATATATATAATACATATTCCTGTATTTCATTTCCTTTATATATATTGACATTATCACTATTGTAATTACAGATTGAGCTCATGATTACGTTAGAGGATTTGGCTCAGAGCTACGGAAGTAGATAAATGAGTAAAAATCTCTATTTTATTAAAGATGTCTGATACTGCCTTAAAAATTTAACATAAATAATGTTGTAGTATTAATTCTGTAATTCAGCAAGCACCCAGTCATAGTAACTCTAGGTATTTTAAATATATGTATATAAACCATATTAGATCATATGGTTTGAATATTTCACACACACTTATCTACTCAGACACATACAGGTAAGTGTTAGGATGATGAGGACATTTTGGTGCAAGTTTCTTCATTTAACATATTGCATGAATGTGGTATCAAACAAATGCAAGCATAGCCTGCTGTGTCTTAGAAATACAAACATAAGAATTCGTATATCACAGTATAAACCAGAAAAAAAAATGTATTCTGGTAAGGGACTTGGCGTGTTCTGAGACTGTGTGGGTAGAAACCCTAGTTGAGAAGGCAGATTAATTTCCACCTCTCTGCTGAACATGGAGGAGCCCCTGATACCAGACACCAGTACAGTATGTTAGGAACTCCCTGTACAGTGTAGTAAACAGTTACTGTTGCCATCAGGTGACAAGAGAAATCCCCTTCCATAAAAGTAGATTGACCCAGCACTATGATATTTGTCCATTTGTGCTGCCGTGGGATTTCTGGCTTTGACAGGCGAGAAAAATGCCATTTACTTAAACATTAGACAAAATAATGGGACAAGGAAAACATTAGACAAAAAAACTTCAGGTCCTGATGAGTTTCATGGAATTGGCCCCCTGCTTCCATTAACACTGGTGGGAGACGCTGTAGTCTGGCTGCTTCTGACTTGACTTCTGACTTCATAGTGAGGATTCGTTGGCTGTTGAAATAGAAATCCAGGGCTGAGGAAAATCCGTTTCTCTGAGTTCTTCCAGTTAACATAGTCTTAGATTGCTTTTTCAAGAACTTTGATTCTGTGACAAAATCTAACTGTTCGTAGAGCTAGTGAAGATTTATTACTAGTGTTATCTTTGTACTGGGGTGTTGACGCGTATAAGCAGCTCAGAGGGTAAAGAGCTTTGCCAGGAAGAGCTTATTGTCTCATGTGTTCATTTACACACTTGCTTGTGTCTCAACCCCTTTCTCAAGGAAGCACTATAAAAGGCGGAACTCCCCCAGAGGTTGATTTTATGACTTGTAGTTTCTGAAATATTTTTTTAAAGACTGTGGTCAACAGAATTATTGTTTTGGTTGACTAAAATAATTTACTGTTACAAATTTGTGGACTCAAAAAAAATTTGTGGACTCCTGGGGGCCTGAGGATTTCACATCAGGGACCTGTATGTTTTCAGTATTTTATGAAATACAAGAGTTGACTTGGGATTTTTGAAATATTGAAAATTTGCTCATAGACACTAAAACCACTTCCAGCTGAACAATTAAATGCCACGCCGACAATGGAAAAGTTCTAGAGAGTTCCCTCAAAAATGTGTGAGGAGGCACAAACAACTAACCAGAAAATTAGGGAAGGTTCATTGTGGCCATATAAAATGTAAGGTGGTTTAAGGAGACAAAATACACGTGTGCATGTGTGTACACACATGTATTATCTCCATCCCAGGAGGAGTCAACAGTAGCTCAGCCTAAGTTTCCTCTCTTAGATGTTATATTTTATTCTTCTACACAGATGTTTATAGACTAATGAAAACCATAACCTCAGGAAATAATTGTAGTTGGGGTCCAGTTTGCAAAAAAAGTCAGATATACCATGAATGATAAATCCATGAAGGGCCATGAGGCACAACCAGTACATTAGAAAGTGATCGCATCATCTCGTGTAGCTTCACACTTCCAAAAAAAAAAAAAAAAACAAACAAAAAACACCTTATGAAAATCCGAATACCCAGACTGTCTTCCCTGTTCAGTGGCTAGATCACCAGCCGTTTAGGTGATGACCCTTACCTTCCGATCCATTGTCTCTAGTCCTTGCCAGTCACTCACCTCCTGGTAATGTTCATTATTGGGAATGAAAAATGTTCTCCTCTGTGACCGTTCCTTTCTTACATGTGCCCAGTGATGCCAGAACTGGGAGTCTGGCCTCAGCACTTTGTGATGACACATACCGTGGTCGTAGTGTATAGTGAGTGAACCCCCAGCAACAGTGGTACAGGGGGCAGTAGTCAGCTTCAGAGCAGCACCCACACCACTCATCTCAGGAGGGGGACCAGGAAGAGCTTGGTTCCATTGTGATTGTAGACTTGTCCTCACTCTCCTCTGAGAAAAGTGCGTGCAAGAGACTTTGGTCCACATTATAGCGTGGTACACTTGAGAGTCGTGCCTTCACATGGACTACTTTCACGTAGGTATAGACACAGCGCAGGACCAAGGGTACAGAATGGACACCTGAATCCACCAATGATGTTTGTTCCTCCAGAAAATAACACCAGGAAACCCACATGACGCCTTAATTTTATGATAATATTTAAATCCTTTTCCCAGGTATAGATAATAATCTTATAAATTCTTGAATTGGCTCTGAAGAATTAAATTTGAATGTTAAATTAAATTAAATTAAATTTGACCTCCATTTCCTGGTAGGACAGGGTTAGGAGTTTTGTCATCATTTGGTATACCGATTAGCTCTGTGTTATTTTGCGTGATGATATGCCAAGGCTTCTTAGCATGTCTTAATTTTTTATTATTTATGTCAGTCTAGATGAATTCAGATGCCAGAGGGTTTTGCGGGCAGGACAGTTGTCAAATAGTTCATTGCCAGCTTTTGGAGGGGAGAATGTGATCTTGGCACATAACAGAAACTTGAATAATTGTTCAGTGATGAGACCAGACGCTTGAAGAAATGGTCTTATATGAATGAGAATTCTGCTCTGAAGCTATTAATTCTATTTCATAAATGCTTTTAGCATAACTGATTTTAATGAGTTGATTATCAGACATGTCCTATTCACAACTATTACCTCCGGGAAGTCATCCGTACTGCTTTTTTCTGTTATTTGGCAGAAACCATATTTTCTGACCATTTTTTTTTCAATTTTGAAGAATGGGTTTTTTAATTTGTTCAGTGCTGCCTGTTTATCTTGCAGGAGACCATATTTCATTTATAATAACACTTTCAGCAAAAGAACTCAGTTGTGTGTTTTTTTTAATAGATGATTCATGCATTAAAGCAATAAGCACTGCTATAAGACACCTCGGTAATACAAGGTATGACTGCAAAATAAGGAGATTGATTTTATACTCACAGAACAAATTAGGCCCATTGCTCTATGGTCACATTCCTAATTTACTTTTCCTCTTGTCAGAGAAGTGCTTGCTTTTCAGAATAGATTTGCACCAATCACCCTTTTTAACCTAGCAACCCGGATGTGGTTGCTTTAGATATTAGATATTTAATTGTTTAATTCAGCAATCCAAGGCCTCCTATACCACCAGCACACCGTACTTGGATAACTATAGGGACAAAGATATGGAAGACATAATCTCTGTCTTCTTGGATTATATTCTCTCTATATGATTCATTATATATTTCTATAGCAAGCTGTCTGCTCGAACTTAGAAAGTCTAAAGTAAAACAGTCTCTGCCTCTAGGGATTCAGTTTCCCGGGAAAGACAGTCACGTAAACTGATAAATAATCCAGTGAGAACAGTGTGAGCAGCATATGCGCAGTGCATGGAAGAGCAAGACATCTTGGGGGAGGTTGCATCTCTAAGAGGAAGAGTTAGGGCATCTACGTAAAGGACTTGAGGCATCACGGTACGCTCCTGTCAAATGCAACAACTGTGGCGGGGGGAGGGTAGTGACAAACTGATATTAATCATGTTTTTAAATTAATGACACCACTTCCTTACTAAAATAATCAAGCCTTGCATCTGAACCTTGCTCTGTGACCTTCATATGGCTCCACATCCAGTAGATGATTTTACCTGTCTAGTTACCTGGGAGGGGGACACGGGACACTATCCGCTTTTACTAGAAGGAAATCAGGATTAATGCATAGAGCCTAAGACCATGCGGTCAGTAAAAGGGCAGTTGTTATTGCCTTGAACTACTGACTTTTTTTTTTTTTTTAAACTAGAAGCTTTCTCGTTCTGGCTTCTAACAATATTTAGATTCTTATCACACCCAACAACAGCCACCGTGATGAAATCGAACAGACGTCATCACATGTACATCTTTGTTTTAAAAAAATTCCTCTAGAATTGAAGAACCTTTAATAACCCAAATCTAGAATAGATGCTGTGATTATCCCCTATTCATATCGGCCTCTGTCGAGCTTTCAGAGGTTCTTCCTTCTTTGAATCTTTTGCTGCTCTTATTTCTGTGGTAAAATGTGGAGCACAAGAAAAAGAAAAAAAGTCATTATAATGTCGTGGCTGAAAGAGCTCTGGAGTCAGACCTTCTGGGTTCTGATCCTCCCCTCTGGGCATGCTCACTCACTTGCTCAGAGGTCCCTGACCACTGGGCCTCAGTTTCTCCTTCTCCAGCTTGAGGATAATAGTAGGACATGAGCCTCACA